TCACGTCGGGAACAAAACAGTTGTCAAACCAGAAGAGGGACAGAGAAGAGGACATCCACGCCTTACGTGCGGTTAGCCAGTGGACATTAAGCTTGTTCATGTCCATATTCTTGTAGGCGTGCGGCTTGCGGGCTGTGTGAATCACCGATAACTTTGGTTTACAGGTACCGGAGGCATTGGTGGTAAACAGGACGGTGATGCGTTCCTTCTGCAACTTCCGACCCCTTACCTTGCTGGCAGACTGGACAACGAAGGTCTTGGAAGGTAACTTTTTCCAGAAAAGACCAGATTCGTCCATGTTAAACACCTGGTCGTCACTGTACTGTCCTTCCTCCATAATCTCACGTAAGAACGGAGGAAAATCTCTAGCCGCCACACGGTCAGCACTCGCTTCCTCACCACCAATGTTGATGTTGGTGATCTTGTTCCTCTTCTTAAACCTATGCAGCCAACCAGAGGAAGCATTGAAGGGTTTGGGCTCTGCAATTCCCAGCTTACGTGACACTGCTGCGTATAGCTCACGTGCGTACTCCTGCACTGAGCGCGTGTCCACCGCCATGTTGCGTCGCGCCTGACGAACCAAATAACTCACCAGCAAATTTTCCACTTTTGCCAGCACCCTGTTCTGGCAATACCTGATAGATGAAGCACCTGCAGACTTTGTGATTTTCATGTGCTCTTTGATCTTGGCTGCATCCTTCTTGATCGTGCGAATCGTAGATTCGTTGACGCGATGCTGGCGCGCGAGATCAACTTGCCGTGTTCCTTTCTCCAAATCTTGAACAATTTGGTACTTCACCTCGTAGCTTAAGGAACGTCGTGTCTTCTTTGGCTTAGTGCCGCTGGGTCCAGGTAAGGAAAGGTCTCTCTCTGGGGGCGGTGGTGGTCCGGCGGAAGCCATTTTACGGAACAATGGATGCGCGTTTACACGGTGTGGCCTTGAGGGATGAAACTGCCGCAGCTAGGTCAAGCATCGTCTCTCCTCCCTCCCTCCCCGGGGTGGTCACGTCATAATACTTTAAGCCAATTACAGCTAGCAGCAGAGGGGGGTAGGGATGCATGGCCAATCACAGTCCGATACGTCATATGACGTCAGTGATAACGCAACAAAGACACACACTGCGCAACCTTACCGCGCCGCTTACCCAAGCGGAGGGAGGAGGAGGGAGAGGCAGGCAGGCAGGCGGGCGGGTGGCGCGTGGGGCAAATCTAAAAATAGCGTCTCGAGCCGGACACTCACCGCGTATATGATGAAAAATTCCGTGTTAAGTGAAAGTTCAGCTCTGGCAAGGCACCGCGTATATGATAAAACGCGCTAAGTGAAACCGCGTTAGGCGAGGTAATACTGTACTTGATCTAACAATATACTGACAATATCTTTCCAACTGGGCAACTTGTATCTTGGTCTCATCATATTTACCATGTCTAAAAAGGATTTATGCTCAACAATCTTAAAAGGAGAATTTGTTGCATACACCATTGTTGCAACTTTTTCATCTATCTTCCTTTTCCTCCATTGTTGTCCTCACTCCATACTGCAAGATACTTGCATTTTAATCAGAAGATGTAACTCGTTTTAATTTATCAGTACGACACGTGACTACTGGAGAAGTCTGTGAATAGCTACGCTTTATAGGTAAAGGAACAGAAGGGATGTTTGTGCTAACATTTGATACTTCTTTTGGAGATGGGGATGTCAATGTTGCTGATCTACAAAACACTGAGGAAGTGACCCCTGATGTAACTGGTTATTCTTGAGGATCTGCAAAGAAGAGTACCACACGTTTTCACATTACAACATGATGTAAAGCCATTGTAGATCTAATTTTATTAGTCAGCCATGATGTATGCTGCTGCTTAACATGAATTCACCCATTAAAATGTTTAAAGCAGGGTAAAAGAACCATGTAGTAGATACGGTACATCTGGCTAATGCCAGTGTTATCTTAGTAACATTGAGAAAGACTAAATGATGTGTTATTTTTTTCAATATTTTGAGCAAGATGGCAGGTTTCTAGCAAATACTGGAAGCAAGGAATTGTGGGCTAGTACTAATAATTACCATCTGTTGTTTCTGAACCACGATTTTCTGAATCTGTTCGTGGCCCACTGCATTTCTTCTTATGATCTCGCAAGCGCTGCACCAAGCCTTGCATTTCTTTACCACAGTCTTTACATTTTGCACAAATTCCCTTTTTTTTGTGACTCAGTATTTGGTCTGAATTTGAAAAACTTAAAGCTGTCTTTTTGTCTTTCTGCTTTTCTCATTTTTGGAAATTATATTTGTCCTATATCTGAAACTGCTTACAGAACAATGCACTTCAGTATGTATTTAGAATTATATTCGTTATATTCAAAACATTCAGCAAAACTGAACTTCAATAATATTAGATTACATTTATTATTTAGGTTTTAGATTTTAAATAATTAATATTTTCAATAATATTAGATATATTTACCTCATATATTTAAATCCTGGGGGTCAATTTATGGTAGCGCACCGTTCTTTCTTTAGGTACAGCCACTCCTCGACTTATGACGGGGTTAGGGACCCAAATCCAGGTCATAAGTCGAAAATGCAAAAATAATACATAGAAAATCTAAAATGAGTGTCTCTTTTTCTTCTCAGCACCACAAAACTCTCACTTTTAAGCTTGCCAGCCATTTTAAAGGAGTCACAACTCTGAAGGTTGAAAAGGCAATATTTCTTTTACTTTTTAATTATTATTATTATTTTTTTCTTCAAAATATGTAAACTTGTTTCAGCTGAAAATCTAAGAGAAAACTGCTAACCTGCTGCTTACCATTCCCACCCACCATCTCAGTCACCACACCCTAAGTATTCACCCAAATGTTTCCAAAGTATTTATGAATTGAATTTACTTGTTCATAGTTTTAATCATCTAATTTTATTTGTGAATTTTTATTTACCTTTAAAAGCAAGTACAATTACTGTATATATATATATATTTAAAATCTTATATGATGGGTGGAATCATGCATGATTTGGAGGTAAATAAACAACCCCCATTTCTCATAATACTGTAGGTTGACTTTGATAATGTAAGACTTCACTCTTTTACAACCAAATTAATACTGAACCATCACAATCTGAAGGGGCCCCTGTAATGTTCATCATTCTTACCTTTGTCTGTTGCACTTTTTATAACTATCCAGAAAAGGGTGGGAGCAATAAGTAGAGTACAGTAGAAGTCCAAAAATCCGGACTGCTTGGGGATTGGGTCGGTCCGGATTTTCGGATTTTCCGGATTCTCAGGCAGTGCTTTTAAAATTAAAATTTAAGGAGAAATAAAGAAGAGATGAACAGGTACATTTTGATAGTTTATTCATTAGCAAATATAGCATGCTTCATTTATCAAAACGAGCAGTTTTAATGAAAAAGCTGTGAATTCTAGAATTTTATTCTTTGCCTTTTTGATATCATAAATTGTAGACTTTCCAATGTTGTATTTTCCATTAGAACAGTATTGCTCACACCACGTACTAGTTTCTTAATTATTTCAAGTTTGTCACTCAATTTCAACGTGTTCTTTCTCTTCACACAACGAAGTTTATCTACTTTAGGAGCCATTATTATGGGCTTGTACAGTAATCTGTAAATGGAAAGAGTAGGACTCAAAATATTGTTCTATTCATACTGTGCTTGATATAATGCATTCACGGAAATGTAATATTTTTGCTAAAATGACGTACGTATTACAGTGGAAAGTGGGATCAAATCGTGACGAAAACAATGACTTTCGCTTTCTTTCGTTCAAAAGATGTTACCGTAATCACTTTTCGAATGGTTTAGTTAAAAAACTGTTGTACTGTATTACAATAATATTCTATCCTAATTGACTTGAATAAATACTACGATACCATATTTCTGAATATTTTCATTAAAATCCATCAAAATCATTTTCTTTGTCATCGTCTGCAGCACCAAACAGCTTCTCCCAGTCCTCTCCTTGAACAGGGCTAGAGGGTACGTGTTTTTCGAATCGTTTTCAGTTAAAAAACTATTACATCACACGTATATTTTACCTAAACTGCGCCTGAATGAATATATTCTCGGAAATAAATAGTAGTTTTGCTGAAACGTGATGTATTTCAATGTAAAATAGGATAAAATACATGTCGAAAACAAAAGACTTTACCTAAGCTTCCGATGTTCTTGAGATGTTACTCGTTTTTTTAATAGTTTTCGGTTAAAATTCTGTTATATTACAATGATATTCTATTCATACTGTGCTTGATATAATACATTCACGGAAATGTAATATTTTTGCTGAAATTACGTACGTATTACAGTGGAAAGTGGGATAAAATCGTGACGAAAACAATGACTTTCGCTTTCTTTCGTTCAAAAGATGTTACCGTAATCGCTTTTCGAATGGTTTAGTTAAAAAACTGTTGTATTACAATAATATTCCCTCCTAATTGACTTGAATAAATACTTGAATGGAAATATACAATATTTTTGTTGAAACTACCCGCGTTTCAGTGTAAAGTGTTGTAATAATAAATGGTAAACAATTTGCCTTCGGCACTCGTGTTTCAGTTTATAGGACGTAGAGCGTTTTTACTGAAGGTTTTGTTGTTCGCTTACCCTCAAAAACGTGGGTCGAACTATAAACGAGGAATATCATAAATTAACGATTTCTTGGTCAAAAAATCAGGGTCGACAGATAAACAAGGGGGGGGTTATAGATGAGTATATACGGTATGTTGTCACAGTTTGATTGCTCGTTTTAAAGTGGAGACCACGTGGTCGCTTGTTGTCGCTGTGCAGCTGTGGCGCTCACGCATGCGCACATACACACAAAAGCCCGCTAAAAAAAAATAATAATAATTAGTTTTCCAAAAGTCCGGATTCTCGGGTGGTCCGGATTTTTGGCATCCGGATTTTTGGACTTTTACTGTATAATTAAATGATGTCTAAATATATATTACATTTACAAATTATCTGGCAAATTTAGGAAATGCCAAAGACTATATACATGTATAAAACCTTTAATATTTAACAAAGAATATACGGTGTAACATAATTCATTCACTTGTCAAATTATAACCTATATTAACATTACAAGTATGGAAAATTAACAGATCTATATACTGTATCTAACAGTTTACAGTATTGTCATCACTGCACAGCCTATACAGTATTTGCTGGATATACAATGCTGAAAATATTAAGAAACACATCATTCTTTTTATATCCTGAATGTGAAAATTACATTTAAGTACTTTTCAACGTTATTCCACTAGACATTTTATGATAAACAAAAACTCATATTCATCATAATCATTCCTTATAGAAAAATATACCCAACCACCAAAAGGTCAAAAATTTTCAAAACTAATCATAATATAAAAATCTTGCTATATCTTCAATCTTCAACTTACATCACAGACCGCTGGGTGCGGAGGGGCTGTGGAAGACGCATTCGGTTGGTTAAATCATTGAAAATCTCAACACTGAACTGTGACCCCTTTACTGCCCCACCAACTTCATGAATCAGGTCTGCAACATCTGGACAAACATCTTGGTTTGTCATTTTTACATCTTCAATGATACCATGGTAGACCTGAAAGTGACATAAGAATTACAGTACATACTATAATAAAAATCTGCAAAACCTGTGGTTGCAATTCAATTACATAATATGTTGCTGAAGACAACATTACAGTATCTCTTAAACAGTATACTCTACTGTACACCCCCTCCACCCTTGACAATGCAGCATCATTTCATTTAACATCAAGGTTATGTGTGTTGATGTACCAGAGACTTAAGGCATTTATTGTAGATGAATGGAATAGCTAACCGTTAGCTATTCTGTCTGTGCAGACTCTTCTGCTGAGTTCTGCGCATGACACCTTGAGAGGGAAAAACAAACGCCTTGATGAGGTGTTAGCGTGTGCGGCGCCCGAATAGCTAACAACCAATCATCGAGTTTCTCCCACTAAAACCGTGGGTAAATACATGGATCATGGCTGCTTATGGAGAATATTTTGATGAATATTAAAGAGTTGGGGGCATGTAAGGCAATAAAAAACTGTGATATAATAATAAAAATAATTATATATACGGTAATATATTGGATAAGACCTAAAACAAAGTGTACAACATGAAAGAATTGAAAAGGATTGCGCCTACAGTTGAAACCTGTTTTGGCTCCGCCCATTTATAAGTGAGCGCTGCGTGATTTCATTAGCCGTTGGTGACTTTGGTGTAACATTATTGATAACTACTTAAATATGATGGAAACCTTAATATCATTACTCATAAGATACTTTAAATAAAGGTGAACAAGTTGATTACAGTTCTGTAATTGCAAAAATTAAGACTTAAATGAATCTGAAATTTGTTGTATTTCGTGTATAAATATGTGAACACCTAGCCGCAAGAAAAAAGAGACAGCAAACGTAGTGGAGGGGCTTTCCTGTAGAAAAAATGGATCAAGCCATGTAAGTAATGGAGGAAAGATATTAAACCAATACCTCACAAATCCTTGAATCTTACAGTATAATTTGCTACTGAAGTATAAAGCTATCACGGTGTCCTTTACGAATAAATGTCCCTCCCCCTTGCCATATAAAAAGGATGCAGCACTCTTGGTCTGTAATCCTCCTCCCCAAGAAACAAATCACTGTCAGAAAAATCCATCTTTTGGTTGATTGGGAGCTGCTCTGGTTGTTACGTGTGTTTCAGAGAGTCCGGGAGAAATCATCTTTACAACGGGCCCGATTTTTTGTGTTCTTATTTATTGTTGACTGGTTGACTTTTCCTTTTTTGTCTTTCTTTCCATAATTTTCTATATATTTTCTTCACTATTTCTTTCTGTATTGTGTCCAAATAACAGTTCTCCTAACTTTATTGTTTTCTGAAGACTGTGTTGTACAACAGTTTTTCCAAAGACACGGTCTGGTCGTATTTTGTAATGACAGTCCTGGAAAGTTAACGTGTTAGCTATCCCCATGCATCTACAAAAAATGCCATTATTAAGCGCTTATATGTGTGAGGTAAGTGTTTGAATTTAAAGAATTGTCTGTCAATTTCATAACATGTAGTAAAGAACAGAAGAAGTAATTTAATTTGATCAGCACTTTGTTAAGTGAAAACTAACCGAGAACAAAAACTTAATATTCCTGCTTCCTTTATCTTACTTAAAACCCTCTAAAGTATCTGTAGCATTGCCATTATACTCCCTATCTACTAATCACTCCCCCTGTATCCTTCTTTTATGTCCATACCCTCTCAGCAAACCACTCTTCTGCAATACCACCACTGCAGTGTACATCCTCTTCTTTCTATGCCAGTGCAAACACCCCACACATTTAACTATTGGTTACCCCCTTCAATTCTGGCAACCCCAGATGCAACTATCAGGTATATAACTCTCCTTTGTAACTCAAATTTCAGAACAACTCAGCTCTATTCCATTATACTATCACTGCATTCCATCTCCACCTCCAAGCTTACTCCCTTTCTCCTGATGATATTTCTCTACATTGTACCATTTTTAATTAACTTCACTGCTAAATTCTTTTAAAGTTTTTAACTTCCTCTAGTGTTTCCCCTTTTTACAATAATTTTATATTATCATTCACTGGAATTTCCAGTTTACTTATATCAACTCTGTCCAACTCCCTCCTCTCAAAAATCATTAACTTCCATCTATTACACAACCTGTCAATGTTATTCACCCCCTTTTGCATTTCCTGTTCACAGCAAAAATCAGAGGCCACACCCCACCTTGCTGCTGCCCCAGTCAACCTAGCCTTCACTTCCCTCACCATCCATTCCTTAAAAATGTCTCACTCCTTCCATCACATCAAAGCTCTCAATTAGTCCTCCACTTACTTTCAAGCATGTCATAATAATTTTGAAGAATGTCTTCACAACCCAAAATACTTCTCAATCCATATGCCTTTGCAGATCCATTAATGTTGCATACGAGTAGTTTCCAGTTTTTCTCATACCCTTTGTGGACATTTTTAATAAAATAATTTTATCTACATAACCTTTACCTCCTCTTCCTCAACTATCCTATATTCTGTTACTTTCCTCACCCTCTTAACCCTACCAAATACATGTGTTTTCCCAGGTATATTTAGTACTGTATAGTACTGATTCCTCTCACAGTTTTTCACCCTTTCTTACTACCTTCCTCATATAAAATGTTTTTTAGCCTTCAACCACTAACCTAATATTTTGACTGTTTTCCATGCTATCTGACACACTCTTAAAGGATTAACCTGGGTTTACAACCCAGGACTCAACTGCTCTAATTCATATGTCACCCTATTAAGTCGAGAACTTAATGATCAATCCTTCATATCTAATTGATACTAATTACTGGAAACATAGGATAGACAAATCAAATCTTTTTACAATGGGGCATTTTTTGACCATTGCAAATATTGTATACAGTACAGTATTTAAAAATTTTAATCACAACTTTTCTATTTTAAAAGGAGCTGTACAAGGTATTTTTGTAACCTATCCCATCAGATTTTATTAAATTTAAGGAAACTTCAGGATTTTACGAGTACAATACAGCTGCTACTCGACTTACGACGGGGTTAGGGACCCAAATCCAGGTCGTAAGTCGAAAATGCTTAAATAACACAGAAAATCTAAAATGGGTGTTTCTTTTTTTTCAGCACCACAAAACTCACTTTTAAGCTTGCCAGCCATTTTTAAGTGAATTACAAACGAAAATTTTGTCAGTACACAGTGCAATCACTAACGCCGGGACTCGAAAATACGTAATTTGACAAAATTTTGGTACGACTGAGGCGGTCATATGTACGGGTGGCCATAGGTCGAGTATGTCGTAAGTCGAGGAGTAGCTGTATATAAATGAAAATAAGAATTAAATTGAATACAATATAAAATTACCTTACATAAATGCATGATACATGTTGCCAATTTTTTATTATTTCTTCTCATGCCATCATGTTGTAACGGAAGGTGGCCAAAGATGTTGACTCCTTAATTCTTAGCATTCAGCAGTTTACTCTATCCCCTTGACAGGATACAAGTCAACCAAAGGACTTTTGCACCATCAGCAAATGCACCAAATAATGTATTTATTTTATTACCGAGTGTGCAAGGACTAGCGTACAAAGAAGGAATCCAGTCTCCACTACAGCTGGAAGTTAAACAACAAACTGTTTGCTTGTAAGGCAAATGCTCTACCACTGAGCTAAGGAATGTTGATTAACTGGCTTGGCAAAAAATTTATCGCCACAAAACAAAGCACCTTCAAAATAAAAAGACCATTTCCATAGTCAGGGAATAAGTATAATAAATAAAAAATTTCTTCCCAATGTAAATTAATAACTCACCTGCACACTGACATCAACAGTAGTGTTATTAGCAACACACTCAGGAAGGGTGATTGGACGAGTAATGGTGAAGCGAGGTGTCTTATTGTGAAGCCATGAGTATGATGATAACTCAGCCTCCAGTTTACCCAGTCCTTTAAAAATACAAATAAAAATACTCTACAATACATCATTATAATAACTCCATAAGATTGAATCAAACTGCTGTATAATCCCTGTACAAAATGTGTAGATATATTGCACACCTGAAACTAGATACAGTGTGCATGTATTCTTAAACACATGGTGTGCAGTATTCCAAATAGTCCTGAATCATACAAAATTTCTTACTCAACTCCTTCAAGAGTTATCACATTTAACAAGAAGGTTGCGCCATGAATACAGCAAGACATAGAGAATCAGAAAACAGTCCAGACTGTTCTGGTTCTACAATATCCAATAAATGCTTTGGATATATATATACATATATATATATATACGGTATATATATATATATATATATATATATATATATATATATATATATATATATATATATATATATATATATATATATATATATATATATATATATATATATATATATATATTTATATATATAAAAATATATATACACAGTGGGGTATGCTATAACGAACGGATCCTACTACGAATATTCCTATAACGAACGGTTTTACCTATAAAACTGAGAATGCTATAACGAACGCAACTCCTACAACGAACGCGGATGAATACGGGACTATTTCGTCTGGCGCATGAATATTGTTGTACCGCGACCCACAACAAGAGCGTCAGGCGCCATCTTTGTCTCATTGTGTAGCCAGTGCACCACTGTTATTGTTGAAATTTCGTCTTTTGATGTGGAAATAGAGTTATTTGTATAAATATTTTGTTATACAAGTGTACAATTGTGACAATGAATCGTTCAAAGCGAGTGAGAAAGCTCATAACTCTTGAAACTAAGAAAGAAATCATAAAGAAACGTGAGGATGGAACAAGCATTGCAAAACTTAGTGATGAGTATGGGATGGCTAAATCGACTATATGTACGATTTTAAAGAATAAAGAGGAGTTGAAAACAGTGCAAGTGGCTAAGGGAATCTCTAGACTTAGCAAAGCAAGGTGTAATGTTATTGAGGAGATGGAAAATTTACTCTTAGTGTGGATAAAGGAGAAAGAAATGGCAGGTGATAGCATTAGTGAAGCTATAATTTGTGAGAAGGCCAGACAATTGTTTGAGGACCTTAAAGCCAAGACTCCCAGTGCAAGTGATAGTGATGTGCCAGTGTTTATGGGTACCAAGGGGTGGTTTACTGGTTTCAGAAGGAGAAATAAAATAGATAGTGTTGTGAGACATGGTGATGCTGCTAGTGCCGATAAGGAAGCAGCTAAGGAACACCATGACATTTTTTTGAATATTATTAAAGAGGGAGGCTTTGTTTCTCAGCAGGTATTCAACTGTGATGAAACTGGACTATTTTGGAAAAAAATGCCTCGCCGTACATACATTACCAAGGAGGAAACTTCTGTCCCTGGCCATAAGCCAATGAAAGACAGGCTTACCCTCCTTCTTTGTGCTAATGCTTCTGGTGACTGCAAAATAAAGCCACTCCTTGTGTACCATGCACAAAACCCCAGAGCTTTAAAAAACACTAGGAAGACCCGCCTTGGTGTTATGTGGCGGTCAAACCCAAAGGCTTGGGTGACCAGGAATTTATTCTCTGAGTGGGTGATTGAGGTGTTTGGACCCAGTGTTCGGGAATACCTCAGGGAAAATAATCTTCCACTAAAAGCTTTGTTGGTGATGGACAATGCACCAGCCCACCCTCCTAATTTGATGGTTGAATTGCCAGAGGAGTTGAACTTCATCACTGTGCACTTCTTGCCACCCAACACAACACCTCTCATCCAGCCCATGGATCAACAGGTAATTTCTAACTTTAAGAAGCTGTACACAAAGGCACTGTTTAGAAAATGTTTTGCGTCCACTTCTTCCAGTGATGTTAGCTTGAAGGAATTTTGGAAGAGTCACTTCAATATAGCAGATGCTGTATTTTTAATTACTTCAGCCTGGAAAGAGGTTACTGTGAGGTGTCTTTGTGCTGCTTGGAGGCCATTGTGGCCTGAATGTGTCCTTCAAAGAGACTTTGAAGGCTTCGAAGAGTCAGAAGAAGAGGCTGTTGTTCATGAAATTGTGGCTCTGGGCAATTCCATGGGCCTAGAAGTGGATGATGATGATGTTGAGGAGTTGGTGGAAAAGCACAGTAAGGAATTGTCCACTGAGGAGCTGCTTGAGCTTCACAAAGAGGAAAACGAGACACTGAAGCGGAGCTTAACTTCTGAGGAGTCAGGGGAGGAGGAGGACAAGGAGGAAAGCCGCATCATTCCAGCCAAAGATCTCAAGGATGCGTTCTTTTGCTGGAGCAAACTGTCCAAGCTTGCTGAGGATTATCATCCTGATGTTGGTTCTGTGCAAAAGGCCATCAGTGTGTTCAATGACAATGTTATGAACTACTTTTGGAAGGTCCAGAAATCAAGGTTGAAGCAGCCAACCCTGGATACCTTCTTTACAAAGATAACAAAAGAACATACAGACAAAGTGCCTGTGAGACAGTCACCAAAGAGGGCTAGGAAGGATGACTCCTCTCCTTCCACCTCTTCTCCATAATTCTCTCCTCCCCCCTCCCCCTCTGCCTCCTGTCCTGCATGCTGAACAACACTAAGGTAAGATAAAGTACCGTATTTTTTACATTTTCCACAGAATTTTTTCAGTGTTAAGTGGTTGTATTTGGGGACCTGGAACGGATTAATCCTATAACGAACGAATACTATAACGAACGAGGTTCTGGAACCAATTACTTTCGTTATAGCATACCCCACTGTGTGTGTGTGTGTGTGTATATATATATATATATATATATATATATATATATATATATATATATATATATATATATATATATATATATATATATATATATATATATGGTGATAACGACAAGGAAAAAAGAAAACACGAAGTTCCCAAGCGCTTTCGTGAAATTCACATCTTCAGGGGTGAGTACAGACAGTCTGTACTCACCCCTAAGATGTGAATAACACGAAATCGCTTGGGATCTTCGTGTTTTCTTTTAGTTATCAGCATATACCTGGATCACTCGCACCTACAGAGATTTAATTGCATATATATATATATACTTCATTTTTAGTCCATATAACACGCGGACTTTGAACATATAATCAACGACCTCACCAGCAAGGAATCGAACCCTCGACCTACTGGGTGTGACTAGGGAACGCTTACCGGCTAGGCCACAAGGACACTAAAAGCATTTCTAGACTCTGTTATATTTCACACAAAGCCTGTTCATCGAGCTGATGGCGCCGTGAACCTCATTGGGAAACTGCCCGTGCCTCTTATGTGGTGTCAGTAGCATTTTACCGAATCCAGCTGGTATGAAACGCGAGGTACATATATATACTTCATTTTTAGTCCATATAACACGCGGACTTTGAACATATAATCAACGACCTCACCAGCAAGGAATTGAACCCTCGACCTACTGGGTGTGACTAGGGAACGCTTACCGGCTAGGCCACAAGGACACTAAAAGCAGTTCTAGACTCTGTTATATTTCACACGAAGCCTGTTCATCGAGCTGATGGCGCCGTGAACCTCATTGGGAAACTGCCCGTGCCTCTTATGTGGTGTCAGTAGCATTTTACCGAATCCAGCTGGTATGAAACGCGAGGTACATATATATACTTCATTTTAGTCCATATAACACGCGGACTTTGAACATATAATCAACGACCTCACCAGCAAGGAATCGAACCTTCGACCTACTG